TGCTTGGTAAGAAATGTACGCATTATCCTGCCCATGCAATTGTAACCCCTCTGTACAGTATGTTCACAAATAAAATAAAATAAAATTAAAAAAAAAAGAAACAGCCTCCAAGAACATTCAGGCAGCAGTCAAAGGGAACAGTTTCCACAGCCCAAGTATTCTTCAAACTATTATGTGATAGAACATAGTCTGATCACTGGTTCCAACAATTCATAGAATTTTTCAGTGTTTTCTCAAGATGCAAAAGCTCACTGTTGAAGTGTTAATACTTAACATACCAATTAAGTTTCTGTCTATCTCCATAAAGAGTTCTTTTGCCTGTCACTTCTCTCTCTAGTCTTAAAGCACTCAGAACATAGTAGGTGCTCAGTAAATATTTGTCATATGGTAACAAATTTTCCATGGCCTGAAAAATCTGTACTAGTATAGTGTTGAATATGTTCAGAAATGCAGTAGTTCTGTCCCTGTTACCAATTTGTACATTCTTGACTTCTTTTTGTCTTTGAACTGAGTGCAAGACTAGTAGGAGATTAGTGGAGTTTATTGTTGCTTTGTTTGTGGGGGTATTTTTGTATTTTTTAATTCCACCTAGTATTCATCCAACAATTATTTATTGAGCACCTTCAATGTTGCTTCTTAAATGTTGAGAATAAGATTATGTGAATAAACTAGACAGTCTCTTTTTCATCTGTTTGAATTTAGAATGTGTGTATAAGGTTAAAGGACATCAGAAAGCAAACAGACCAAAGTTATATAAAACATCAAACAACACAGTAGTCCTCCCTTATCTGAGAAAGAGAGAGAGCTTTTCTTTCTGCCATTACTTGGGCTTGAATTCAGGGTCTCATACACTCTTTTTTATGCACAGCTGGCACTTAAAGCATGCCTCCACTTCCTTCATTTCGGTGGTTAATTGGAGATAAGAGTCTCACAGACTTTTCTTCCTAGGCTGGATTTGACCTATGGTCATCAAATCTCAGCCTCCTGAGTACCTAGGATTATATGTGTGAGCCACCAACGCCTTGTTGTTTGAAGTTTCTGTTTCTACGGTTTCAGTTAACCAATGTCAATCCAAAGTCCAAAAGTAATATATGAGAAATTCTACAATCTGTACTTTTACAATGTATTGTTATACTTTAAAACTGTATTCTTTTGTAGTATATTGTTATACATAATCTATATTATAGATTATAACAGCAGATTATAATCTATTATTAGTTATGATACTTAATCTTTTACTGTGCCTAACTTGTAAGTTAAAGTTTAGCAGAGGCATGTATGTATAGGGGGGAAAATCGTTGAGTATATGGAGGTCTTTTCTGCAGTTTTAGGCCTCCAGTGGAGGTCCTAGAACTTACCTCGGGTGTCAGGTGAAGAAAGGAATGTATTTTTATGGTGTGCATTGTTGAGCAGTTTAAGCGAGGGAGGGAACGCACAAGAGCAGGGACCAAATGTAATCTGAGAGTTGGTTTCTTTAAAGCACAGGTTTAAATATTGCTGTTTCAATTGCAGTTCGTCTGTACTGCTCGCTTGCAGTGCATCCCTTCTGGCTGTAAAATAATACTACAAACCTCACTGCATAGTTATGAAAGGATGCTCAGCACCAAAGCCAACACTGGGGTTCAACTGTCTGGCGGAAATTCTATGGACTCAGGGCTGAGATTTCAAACACCCACTCTGGGAAAGCCCCGCCCCGCCCACCACACGTGCGGCCACCGCTGCCTGGAGCGTTAATGATGATTGGCTATTTAATCCGTCAATTTGGCTTTGCTCAGGCGTGCTATCCAATCCCGCTCGAGTTCGCCAGGGTTCCCAGGTCCTCCAGGTGGGCGGTGCCCGTGACGTAAGACGACGCGTCACGTCACGGAGGGCGGAAGTCGCACTCACTGTTTTGAAATCCGCAGCCCGCGTGTCTCGAGATCCTTTCCAGGCTGAGGCCCGTCGCGCCCTAATTTCTGGGGAACCCCCCCCCGATCCCTGCCGTTCCGCACCGGGGGGTGTCGGGGCCGCGGGCGCGCCATGTCCACCCCTCCGTTGGCGGCGTCCGGCATGGCGCCGGGGCCCTTCGCCGGGCCTCAGGCTCAGCAGGCCGCCCGGGAGGTCAACACGGCGTCGCTGTGTCGCATCGGGCAGGAGACGGTCCAGGACATCGTGTACCGCACCATGGAGATCTTCCAGCTGCTGAGGAACATGCAGGTCGGAGGGGCAGCGGGAGGAGGCTGGGCGGGGCCCGGGGCTGCCGTCTCGGGGGCTAGGGCTGGAGCCCCGGTCGTCCGTGGGACCGCCTGGGAAGCCTTCAGCCGGGGTCGCCCCCACTTCCACGCGAGTGTCCCCCGGGGCTGCGTCTGCTCCCCCGCCAGTCAGGGGTTGATGCTTTCCAGAGGGGATTTCTGAAAGATTCAAACCACGTTCTTCTAGACTGGAGCGAGGAACTTCGTACCTCGCAGGGGACAGGTTGGATGTACCTCCTCTTCCCTCGAGAAACCTTACTTTTCTAGCAAAGTAGCCCCACAGGATCGGCCCAAAGTCTTCAGGTCTGCTAACCACTTTCTACAAAAATAAGTCTTCCCCGTTTTCTCTCACACCTAAGATACAATAAACTCTGCTAAACTAATACAGTTGTGAAACGTCACAGCAGTCACAACAGTAAATAAATCCATCCCTCTCGGATGCTTTCTCTTGTCCCTGTGAAATCTTTGCCTTCCACCCAGTACACCGCTAGTCCTGTTTTCTGACATCATGAATTAATTTGCATTTTCTAGAATTTTGGGTGAGAGGAACCACATAGTAAGTAGTCTTTTTTATTTGTCTAGATTTTTTCAAGTCTGTGACAATAGATCGTTAGTTTTCTTTTATTACTGAGTAGTATTTCATTGTTATGAGTATATCGTAACTTTTACATCTGTTTGTCTGTTTAGGTAGACATTTGGGCTGTTTCCACTTTGAGGTCATTATCAGTAATGCTGTGAATGATTGTTTACAATATGTGTTTTAATTTCTTTTGGATAAACAATTTGGGAATGCAATTGCTGGGTTGTATGTTATGTCTGCTTAACATTTTAAGATAATTTATCCGAAGTGTTTGTATTTCCATTAGTAATCCTAGATGGTTCTAGTTTCTCCACATTCTCTGTTATACTTGCCATTGTATATATTCTTGCTTTTCTGTGGCCATCTCTCACATTATCATTTAGGAACAGAACTTTCAGTTTTGATGATATGTTCTTTTACAGATCATACTTTTGATATCTAAAAATGTCATACCTAACCCAAAGTGAAAAGATTTTCTTCTAGAAGTTTGGTAATTTTAAAGTCTTGGTTTATAATCTTAATGAGGAGGGGAGGAGTGAATAAACAGATTCATAACTAAAAAAGATTGGATTAAGTTGTGCATTTTATTGTTAGGACTGTTGTTATTACTATCGTTAATCTCCTATGTAGATGCATTGAGTCATGACAGGTGTAGGTAGTGATACGTTATATCACTGAAGTACTCTGCATGGTTTGATACACCATTGAAGGTACTGAATTCCTCTCCAGAGGCAATGGTTGTTAAATCTTATTTCTAGTTAGGGATGTCCTTCCAGGTATTCTTTTTATCGTTAAGCAAATGTGATACATGTATATATGCGTGTATGTATATGTATATACTTTTTACACACCCCATTTTCTATGATATTTTCGGTTGATATTTTTTAACTTATTCAGAAAAATAACTCCCTTTCCCTTTTTAAAATGTATAATATTCCACTGCATGAAAATACTGAAATACTATAATTTTATTAAATCACTTCTCTGGCAAGAGCATTTATGTCCTCACAATTATGCCACAGCAAATAATTTACTATACCAATGTACAAGTGCTCCAGTAGATTAAATACTTCAAAATAGCTACATGCTTAATGTTGTTAGATAAATTTTGATGCATACTCCTCCATGGAATTTGTACTTGTTTATGCCCTTATGCCCTAACTATCACAGAATATTACTCTATTGGATTTTTGTTAACTTGCTAGGTAAAATATCTACTTTACATTTCTTCTACTTTGAGTCTGAGCCTTTCTTCACGTATTTATGACTCATTTGTTTCTTGCTAATTGCTGGTTGATATTATTTGCCTGTTATATTTCCTCTCCTGCCTCATTTGGCCATTTTACCTTCCTTACCTAATTTATAGGATGTATTCCTTTATATATTTACAGATATTTACAGATTAGAGAAACTTGCTTTCTGTGATACAACTTAGTTTTTTGGTGTGGTTTTTTTTTCCTCCAGTCTCTTTTGTGGTATGTGTGTGATCCTGTCTCATGGTATATCCCACGCTAGCCTTAAACTCATGGATTTCCTTTCTCAGCTTCCCAAGTGCTGGGATTACAGCAGGTGTATATACTACCAAGCCTAGCTAATTCCGTTTTTCTGTTATTCATATTTTTTTTGGGGGGGGGCAACTCTTAGAGATTTTGCCATGCTTTCTCACTGTAAGTTCCACTCCTGGATGGTAAGCAGACGCCATCCTCCTCGCAGCAAAGTCTCCACCCAGTACCTGCGTTACCTAGGCAACGGGCACACCTGGAAGAGGTCACATCTGCATCTGCTGAGGTCACATCTGAATTTGATGTGGCCACACCTTTCTCTGCCCATACCCTAGATAAGGCCTAGCCTAGGCCCAGACCTTCTCCTTTCTAGCTCTCTCTCTGCTCTTCTCTAGCTCTTCTCTTTTCTAGCTATTTTCTCTCTTTTCTAGCTCTCTCTCAGCTCTTTTCCCCAGCTCCCTCTCTTTCCCAACTCTCTTTTTCCCAGGCCTTTCCCCACCGCGTGGAGGACCAAGATTGCCAGGTGCCAGCCTGAACGATGAATAAACCTACCCCTTACCTGAATACCACGTGCGTGGTGCTGTTCTTACTCGTCTACCTCTTTTTAAAAACCCAACCCTCACCACCTCGAACTCTGACTCAACTTTTCACTCAAGGCTGGTATTCTACCACTCAAGCCTCCATTTCTGACTTTTTGCTGGTTAACTGGAGATAGAACTCACAGATTTGTCCACTCAGGTTGGCTCAAACCTCAACTCTTAGATCTCAGCCTCCTGAGTAAATAGGATTATAAGGAATGTAATATCCTGGTACCCAGCACTTAAAGTAGTTGATTTACTAATATTTAAGGATTAGAAAGATCTTCCTCCTCTAAAATGAGGGAGAATTTTGTGATATTTGGTTTCAGTTTTTACATTTAAAATGTTTTATGCAAGGCACCAGTAGGTCATGCCTATAATCCTAGCACGGTAGGTGGCTGAGATCTGAGACTCCTGGGACTCCTGGTTCAAAGCAAGCCTGGACAGGAAAGTCTGTGAGACTCTTATCTCCAATTAGCCACCAGAAAACCAGAAGTGGAACTGTGTCTTAAAGTGGTAGAGAACAAACCTTGAACCATAAAGCTCAGGGACAGTGCTCAGGTCCTGAGTTCAAACCTCACAACTGACAGAATCTGTCCTATTACAAAGTATGAAATAGCTTATTTTTCCAACATGTTTTTGGTTTTGTCCTTTATGGGGTTTTTTGTTTGCTTGCTTTGTTTTTCTAAGACAGTCTCAACTTTGTCATCTGTCTAGAACAGAAGGGATCCTCATGCTGGGAGTACAGCTGTGCACCCCCACACCTAGCTTAAAAGGTTTATTGAATAATTCATTTCTTCCTCCAGTGCTTCAGTTGCAGCTCTACCAATGAATATTTTTGTTTATTCTCCATAGCAGTCTCTTATTTCTGTATTATTGCCACACTTTCTTACACTTTTTGAGGCTCTGTAATGTGTTTATACTTCTGTTTTAGAATTCAGAAGTCCTGGGTACTCTTTCTTGTTTACTTTTCCACATGTATTTTAGAATTGGTTTTAGTTCAAAGAGAAATCTGTTAGCATTTTTATTAGGTTCATCCAACCCCAAAACACCTGACATCCTGATCTTGAGTCTTACAAAAACCATAAATTAGCCTTTTTTATTTCCCTAAGAGATATTTGAGGTTTTCATTTTAACCTTGAGGTTTTTAAAGTTTATTTCTAGTTAGTGTATCTTTTCATTGCAATTGTAGGTAAAGCCTTTTCTATTTTCTTTTTGTTTTTATAGATGAAGGTGAGGCTATTGTGCTCTTTCTCTTAATTTTGTACTCTCTTGTGGATTCTCTTATTTCTAGTAGTATTTTCTCATGCCATTTGTAAATACGATGATTTAACTGTTTTGGTGTGTGTGTGTGTGTGTGTGTGTGTGTGTGTGTGTGTGTGTGTGTGTGTGTGTGTGTGTGTGTGTGTGTGTGTGTGTGTGTGTGTGTGTGTGTGTTGTGTGTGTGTGTGTGTGTGTGTGTGTGTGTGTGTGTGTGTGTGTGTTCTATATCCTACCTCTCTTGTGTGTGTGTGTGTGTGTGTGTGTTCTATATCCTACCTCTCTTCCTCTGAAATGATACTCTGAGCATCTTAATGATTACAGTTAGGTATTCTGAAAATATTCTTTGCAACAACATCATAGTTCCTTTTCTCCTGAAAAGTTCTTTTTTAGAGAAAAAAGTATTTTTTACCTTCCTGGTTGAGCTTACTCGTTTGTCTCCTTTATGTAACAGTAAACAATATTGAAATTATACATTCTTCTTAAAGTTACATTTTAAACATTAAAAGGAAAAGAAAAATATTTAACTGTTTGGAAGGCTTATCAGAAACTTTTTTTTCTAAGGCTCATGGCAATGAAACATGTATGCCAACTTGTTAAAAAATGCACATGTATTACTATTAAAGTTTTCACATATGTGGGTACATATACATAGTGAATTATTTGTTTGATTTTAAATTTTTAATTGCATTTGATTATGAGAAACAGTTGATTTTATGTGGTGTTGAAAATTGTTTCTGTTACTTAGCTTTATATGGAGAATGCAGAATCTATTTCTAAAAATCTTGATTTGCATTATAATATTTTGAAATTATTTTGTTTTCCCCCTAAGCTGCCAAATGGTGTCACTTACCATACTGGAACGTATCAGGACCGGTTAACAAAGCTCCAGGATCACCTTCGCCAGCTCTCTATTCTGTTCAGGAAGCTGAGGTTGGTCTATGACAAGTGTAATGAAAACTGTGGAGGAATGGACCCCATTCCAGTAGAGGTGAGTTTCCATGAGAGAGAATACACAAGGAGAGGCGAAATACTGTCCAGACATCCAGACAGTTGCTTTATTTTTCTCTTTCTTCTCTTTTAGCAGTATTGCCTAATTTTTTTTTAATTTAATTTTATTTTATTTGTGAACATACTGTACAGAGGGGTTACAATTACATGAGCAGGATAATGCGTACATTTCTTTTTTTTTTTTTTTAATGCGTACATTTCTTACCAAGCATTGCAGCCTCCTCCTTTGTTTACCCTTCACATCCCTTCCCAGCCTCCCCCCTCCCCCCCA